CTGTCCCCTGGAGCCCCCGCCTGCCCCCGGCCAGCCCCCAGGGTCCCTGCCTGTTCTTGGAGCCCCCACCTGCCCCCAGCCAGTCCCTGGGGCCCCCGCCTGTCCCTGGAGCCCCCGCCACCCCGACGGACCCCCACCTGCTCCCACCCAGCCCCCGGGACCCCCGCCACGCCAACAGACACCCACCGGCCCCCAGCCAGCCCCCAGGGTCCCTGCCACTTTGATGGACTCCCTCCCAGCCCCTGGAGCCCCCACCTACCCTGACAGACCCCCAGCTGTCCCCCACCCAGCCCGCAGGACCACCATCTGCCCCCTGCAAGGGGCCCCTCTCTGTGGCCCAGCTGCACCCCCCCCATCCCTTCCCCCTGGCCGTGCTGCCCAGTAACAGCCCCCCACCCCGCAGGGGACGACTCCATGCGGACGTCCCAGCTCAACGTGGGCACCTCCACCGACGTGTCCCTGAAGATCAGCGAGAGCGACCTGAGCCTGCTGACGGCCTCCATCCGGGCGCCCTCCGGCCACGAGGAGCCCTGCCTGCTCAAGAGACTGCCCAACCGCCACATCGGTACCGCGCCGGGCAGGGCCGGCTGGGCCCGTGGCTCTGGGTGGCGGGGGAGGGGGCGCAGGGTCGGCTGGGCCCGTGGCTCTGGGTGGGGGGAGGGGGTGCCGGGCCGGGTGGGCCTGTGGCTGGGGCAGGGGAAGGGTACCAGGCCGGCTGATCCCGTGGCTCTGGGTGGCGGGGGGTGGGTGGCACCGGGCCGGCTGGGCCCGTGGCTCTGGGTGGCGGGGGAGGGTACCAGGCTGGCTGATCCCGTGGCTCTGGGTGGGCCTGTGGCTGTGGCGGGGGGGCGGGGTGTGGCACCGGGCCGGCTGGGCCCATGGCTCTGGGTGGGGGGAAGGGCACCGGGCCGGCGGGGCCCGTGGCTCTGGCTGGCGGTTCCCATCGCCCGCGGGCGCTGACCGTCCCGTCTCCCCCAGGCATCTCGTTCACCCCCAAGGAGGTGGGGGAGCACGTGGTGAGCGTGCGGAAGAGCGGGAAGCATGTCTCCAACAGCCCCTTCAAGATCCTGGTGGGGCAGTCGGAGATCGGCGACGCCAGCAAGGTGAAGGTGTGGGGCCAGGGCCTGGTGGAGGGACGCACCTTCGAGGTGTCCGAGTTCATCGTGGACACTCGCACCGCAGGTGAGGCTGGTGTCACGGAGCCGGGGGGCTCCCAGCAGGGCTGGGCTCTGGGGGACGTCCTGACCGGAGAGGGGTGTGGATCCGGCCGGGAATCACTCCCAGAGGAAGGACCGAGGACCCGTTGCCCCCGACAAGGGGCGGCTCCGGCAGTTAGGTCTAGCCAGGTCTGAGCCCTGGGGAACAAAGTGTGGGGCCGACCTCCGCCTGCCCACTGGAGGGGTTCCGGCTGGCGCTGGGAGGGTCCCAGGTACCGTACTGGCAGGCAGCGTGCCCGGTGGGGGGCTCTGGTTGGCGCTGGGGGGGTCCCAGGCGCCGTGCTGGCGGGCAGCATGCCCGGTGGGGGGCTCCGGCTGGCGCTGGGGGGTCCCAGGCGCCGTGCTGGCGGGCAGCGTGCCCGGTGGGGGGCTCCGGCTGGCGCGGTCCCACAACGCTCATGCTCACCCCTAGGCTACGGTGGGCTGGGCCTGTCCATCGAGGGGCCCAGCAAGGTGGACATTAACTGCGAGGACGTGGAGGACGGCACGTGCAAGGTGACCTACTGCCCCACCGAGCCCGGCAACTACATCATCAACATCAAGTTCGCTGACAAGCACGTGCCAGGTGCGGGGGGCATGGCCAGGGCACAGCCAGACTGGCTGAGACTGGCCCCTGGGGATAGCAGCCTGCCAAGGGGAATGTCGCTCAGTGGAGCAGCTAGAGCGGGGGGAAGGGCTGGGAGCCAGGACTCCAGGGTTCTTTCCCCAGCTCTGGGAGTGGGGCCTAGTGGTTAGAGCAGGGGGGCTGGGAGTCATGACTCCTGGGTTCTATCCCCAGCTCTGCCGCTGAAGGCAGAGAAACAGCCCAGGTGGCTCCTGGGCATTAGGGGAGCAGCTTTGGTGCCTCTGTTTCCCCTTAGCCCAGTGGGTGCTGGCACCAAGCCCCAGGGTGAAGGTTTGGAAGTGCGGGGGGGCTGCGTTGTCATGCTCCCCTGAGGCGTCGTGCCGTCCCCGCGGGCGGGGCGGGGGACGGGGTGGGTGCCATGGGCGGGGCAGGGGTGGGAGCCGTGGGTAGGGCGGGGCAAGGGGTGCGGCTCACTGCCGTGTCCATGCGCAGGGAGCCCCTTCACGGTGAAGGTGACGGGTGAGGGGCGCATGAAGGAGAGCATCACACGCCGGCGCCAGGCGCCCTCCATCGCCAGCATCGGCAGCACCTGCGACCTCAATCTCAAGATCCCAGGTACAGCCTGGGGGGGGCTCTGCTCCGAGTCTGGGGGACACGCCCAGCCCCATGCACCCGGGCGGGACTGAACACTGATTGGGGGGGGGGGGCGCTGCCTGCCCCGCCTGGACCCCCAGCAGGCAGGCTGAGCCCTGTGGATGGGGCGCCAGGACTGGGAGCCATTTGCAGCCCTCGTGGGGGTCAGGGCTGGGGGGTGGAAAGGACGGGGAGGGCCCTTCCCCGGCAGTGGGAAGCTGCTGGCTCTGGGGAGGAGCAGGCACTGGGGGGCGGGTGGGGGGTCCAGGCCCATGCGGGGCAGAGGGGCTGGGGGCAGGGGCCCAGCGCCCCCTCTCTGATTCCCCCCCCCACCCCGTGCGGCGCAGGGAACTGGTTCCAGATGGTGTCGGCGCAGGAGCGGCTCACGCGGACCTTCACGCGCAGCAGCCACACATACACGCGCACTGAGCGCACCGAGATCAGCAAGACGCGGGGCGGCGAGACCACGCGGGAGGTGCGAGTGGAGGAGTCCACGCAGGTCGGCGGGGCCCCCTTCCACAACGTCTTCAGCGACTTCCTGGGCCGCGAGAGCCTCGGCTCCTTCGGCAGCATCGCCCGCACCCCGGAGGGTGCGTGCCCGGCACGGGGGGGAAAGTGTCTCAAACTGTGGAACCGTGGGGGGCGGGGAACGTGTGTGCCTTGTCCATGGGCAGCAGCCTGGCTGTGTGTGTGTGGGGGGTGTCATGCGGGCGGCGCAGGGGGTCTCACAGGCACATCAGGTTTGCACACGCGTGTGAAGCAAACGTGCCCGGGTGTGCGACCCACGAGGCACTAGAGGGCACTGTGCTGCAGGGGACTCTCTCCCCTCACAATCAGTGCTGGCCCCAATTCCCCAGGATGGCACTAGGGGGCGCTGCGCTGCTGGCCCCATCTCTGGCCATTGTCACCTCCTGGCTCTTTGCCTCACAGGGGCGTTAGCCCTGGTACCCTGCCCAGATCCCAGGGCCGGTAACTCCATGCCCACTCAGTGCCCGTTCAGCACAGGACCCTCCTTTGCTGCCTGTCCCAAATTGGGGGCAGGGGCCGCACTCCCCTAGCGTGGCGGGGAGAGCCTGTGCCCGCTGGTGCCGTGCGGGTGGTCTGGGCTGCAGCTCTATCCCGTAGCATAGTGTGGGGGTGTCAGGCAGGCGGTGCCCCGCCCCAGAGGTGGCTGCATGGCAGTGCTGGCAGCAGTGGGAGGGCCGCAGGGCTGTGATTGGCTGACGGCCCCGCCCGTCTCTCGTTGGCCAGGCGAGGCGGGTGCCCCGACCATGACAGCCCAGGTGACCAGCCCGTCGGGGCAGACGGCTGACGCGGAGATCATCGAGGGCGAGGACAGCGCCTATAGCGTGCGCTTCGTGCCCCAGGAGATGGGCGCCCACACC